AAAGCAAAAGCACAGACATCCTCAAATATCACATTTATTTACCACTTTGAAAGTTAGCAGGAGCTTTACATACTGTAATGAATAACGGATTGTGTTCAGCTGTTAGTACCCGACTACAGTTGCTTATATAAACTACAGGGTCTTTTTCTTTACTTAAAAAAAACAAAAGTTTGGAGTTAGCCCAGGGACATCCACAAATTCATCAGCAACTTCCTCCTTTCTGCTCCACCATCCTTGACATATAGCTTCCTTCCTTAAGGTTACCTCATGGTCAAAGATGGCTGCCACAGCCTTGCAATCTCATTTGTGTTCCAGGTAGAAGGAAGGAGGAAGTAGCAAGAGGGCAAGCTGAGTCAGTTCCCTTTAAATAGCCTTCCTGGAAACCCCACCCAATGACTTCCTCTTATTATTTCATCATCCTCTCCTAGTTGCAAAGGATGCTGGGAAATGTAGTTCTTAAGATGGGCATATTGCCCCCTTGAATAAGTTAGGCTCTGTTAGCAAAGAACGACCATCGAATGGTAATTGTGAAGGGCACTAGCAGACTCTGTTATGTATATTTCATTATATACTCAGTTTTGAGAGATCCTTAGGAAAATCCACCATTTCCCCCGTGAGGTCTGAGATTCTGTGTTACTTTTACGTAAAAGTTTTTCTGTCTCATAGGTAACAGACTAACAGCATGGTTTTTTTATTGTTTTTAAGGCAAGTAGAATTTACTTGCCCTCGGTTAGCTATATTTCATAACAAGGGGAGGAGAACATAAAAAGCTTCCAATTTCTGTTAAAAATCTTTAAAATTTAACTTTGTTTCTTATCTGTTATAATTTAAAACAAGAGTTTACCTTCAGTTTACCATACCAAAATGAGGTAAGTGGGTTGTGACTGGATTCAATCTTGAGCTTGCCATTTCTGCTCTTGAAAAGGTATTAAAAAGCGGGGATCAGAACACATTCCCCCTACCCCACTGCTGGTGGTCACCTAGATGTTCCTGTACAAGATGACTGTGAAATGTGAGCTGTGGGCCTTCTGGGTCACCCTCATCTCCAGGAAAGCCCTGCCACCTTTGGAATCTAGGATGGTATGAATGATCAAAGAATCCCACCTTCAGTAGAGCTGAATGCAGCATGGGTGAAATCTAGTTGTGGTTTTAAAATCTGTTCCCTACATCTGTGAGACACTCCTCTCTTCAAAAGGTGGGGCTTAATTCCTCTCCTCTTGAATGTGGCCCAGACTTTGCGTCTTGCTCCTAAGGAATAGAATGTAGCAGAAGGATGCTCTATGACTTCTGAGTCTAGGTCATAAAAAGGATAGCGTCCGCCTGGTATGCTCAGCTGGCTCACTCTAGGCGAAGCCAGCTGCCACGTCTTGAGAACACTAAAGCAGCCTTCGGACAGCCTGAGGCTCCTCACCTGATGGTTCACTTCACCATCCTGGCTCAATGGAAAATCAGACTGTGGACTAAGAATATGTGATTCTCAATTAGATGTTTGGATTCATTCCCCTCCTAAGTCATCCCCTTCTTGCTGTCTTTGCTTCAGCAGGAAGGATGGGGATTCTGGGGACAGAGTGTTTCAGCTTCAATCCTGGTTCTCCTACCTACAAGCCATGTGGTTTTATACAAGTTATTTAACCTCTCTAAGCCTCAATCTCCTCATCTGTAAAAGGGGACCACTGATAGATATGGATCAGGGTTTCTCAACCTCTGCACTACTGACATTCGGGCCAAATAATTCTTTGTTGTGGGGCTGTCCTGTGCATTGTAGGCTGTTTAGCAGCATCCCTGGCCTCTACCCACTAGATGCCAGTAACAACATCTCCATTCCTCCAGTTACGACAACCAAAATGTCTCTAGACGTTACCAAATGTCCCCTGAGGGGCAGTATCACCCCCAGCTGAGAACCACTGACCTACACCACTCAGTTCTGTGCATGGTGCTTAGTCAATACTCAAGAAATGATTGTCATTTTGGGAGCGGGGTATAGCTCAGTGGTAGAGTGCACGCCAAGATCCTGAGTCCATCTCCAGTACCTCCATTAAAAAAAGATTGCCATGATTATTTTCTCTCTTCAGACTGCAACAATATTAGATTTCAGCAATGTTTTTACTAGGTGTTTTTTTTAAAGATGCTATTTGCATTTTTGTGACAAAATTAAAATTTTAATGTATGCAAAATGGTTAATTTCACATTACGTGAAATTTTAGCTCACTTTAAAAAAGTATATGAGCATAAGCTGCAAAAGAACGAACATAAATTGCACTATATCAAAATTTAAAACTTTTGTGCCACCAAGGACACTATTGATTAAATGAAAAGACAATTTCTAGGACAGGGAAAAATATTTGCAAATCATCTATCTGGATAAGGGATTGGTATCTGGAATATATAAAGAAATCTGACAACCCAATAATAAAAATCAACCCAATTGAAAGATGAGCAGAGGACTTGAACAGATGTTTCCGCAAAGAAGATAAACAAATGACCAATAAGCACATGCAAAGATGTGGGTTGTCAAAGATGAAGCAGCGTGTAACTTTTGAAGCCAGGTCAGGAGGCAGCAAAATGGGCAAGCTGTGTTCTTTCCTCTGCTAAAACCTTCATGTGCCGAGCAGGACTTCTCATAGTCCCTGCAACAGAAGCGAAATGCAGGAGTCAATGCACTTAATGTGTCAACACTGGTCCTAAACTCGAATGGATAATATATCAAAACACACACAGTCATTGCTCTTATTCAAACATGCTTGCTGATTTGTATGCTGCTAAATGTGCAATAAAGGATGTTTTATTTTATCTTGTTATTAGTGTTGCCTTTTTGTGCTTAGGATGTTATTTGACTTATTCATGTCTTTTGACGTGTGTCCTTGTGTCTAACTTTGACCTTTCCGGCAGTAATTAACCCATGAGACCACTTTTGCTTCCTACTGTGATGAATGCGGGCATTCTATATTGTGAGACGCTATTGGTATCCTTTAGTCTCTTGACATTTCTGATCAGTAGTCAAATACGTGAGGAAACACACGGGCTGCCTTTTCAGTTTTAATTCGATCACAATCTTGGAGTGTGGAAAACCTTTGTAAGCCTGACGCAAAACTCAGAAGCTATAAAAGATTTGCCTATTTAAAAAAAAAATTGCAAGGCAAGAAAAACAGAAAAAGCATAAACAAAATTAAAAAAAAAAACACTGACAAGCTGGGGAACTGGGCTAATCAAAGTACAACTACAAAGGAATACTCTTTTTTCACTTATTTGATCAGCAAAGTACAAAGTTTTTTATAATACTATCAACAGGACTATGTACCACTGGAAGCAGTACCAATTGTCCTGCCTTTCTGAAGGGCATTTTCGAAACTTCTTATAAAGCATTTAATTCATATACCTTTGACCCCAAAATACCATTTCTGAAGATATATATTTACACACATGTATGTTACATACACGGGAGAATGTTCCCTGCAGCACATATACGCAAAGATGTTCATTACAGCATTGTTTCTTATAGCCAGAGACTGGTCACAAACTAAATTTCCAACTCTAGAAAACCTGTTAAAAACTTTATAATCAGTCCATACACTGAAATGCTTCACATTATTTTAAAAGAATTTATGTCCTGACATGGAAAGATGTCCAAATTATGTTAAGAGAAAAAAGTCTGTGTCATAGTATACACCAAATGAATCACCTTTTTTTACCTTAAGGGGGGACATATATGCATATAGCTACGTGTATACCTTATATGACATACACAGGGACAGTTTTCAGAGGTTGTTACTTCTTGGGAATAGGACTGAGGAGGATCTATAATGAGGGAAGTAGAATAACTTTCACTTTATATTCATATAATTTGACTTCCTAAAATTGAAATGTAGGGTACCTATAATAGTAATAGTATAATAATAATCATAACTAATAATAATACTAGTAATAACATAATAGTAATAGCAGAACTAGGGAAAATAGAAAAATATAGTGCTTTCACCCAATGTTTTTATTTTGTGAAATTTATACAAAGGAAGTTAATTGCATGAGCGTGCAAATATAAATGCACAAGGATGCTGAATAAATGTATTATATTAAAACACTGAAAATCTAAATGCCCTTTAGCAGAGAACTGTTAAATGCATTATGATCTGCCCATACCATGGGATGCCATATGACTATTAATAAGAGGGAATCAGACTACTATATTATTGACATGGAGAAGAGGTCCAGGATAGATGACAAAATGGAAAACAAAAGATCGATTTCATAACAAGCTGTGCAACAGAACTTTTATGTTAAAAAGTGTTTCCATAGATAATAAAAAGCCGGGAAGGATGTTAAAATTGAAAGTATACATTAACCCACATTTTCTTGAGTCATCAAGCTCTAGTTACTTTAAATGGATGTGAAATTTCCAGAGCTTAGCTGAGAGATGTCATATTCACTGTGGCTCATACAGCCTCCTAGACTGGAGGCTGGAGGCTCACCCAGGAGCACTTTCCCAGACCCCTTGAGTACTAGTCTTTATTGAGTGATTTTGTGTGCCATTCAGTTCTTTTCTCACTTATTATCATTTAATCCTGAGAGTGAACCCTAGGACTTTCTGACATCATCTCCATTTATCCTGCTCAGAAAGACTTAGTAATTTGCCCGAGGACATCCAGCTAGGAAGTACCTGTCCAATTATTTAGAAAGCCAAACTAGATGGCACGAGCTCATCATCCTCAGAAAGGAAATGTTCAAGTCAAACCAGATCATTCCTGGTTCCTTCAGCTATTTCCACTTCTGTGCCTTTGAATCTATGGGTCCCTTCACTCTGAGGGGCCTCTCCCTTCTGGGAGCCTTGCCTGTGCTTCAGGGCCTAGGGAACATGCTTCCTCCTCCAGGAAGCCCTCCCTGATTCTCACCACTGGGAAACAGCCTTTGGCACACGCTGCATTTCACAGTGGCCACTTGTGAGCCTCACTCCACAGCTTTTGCAGGTCGGCTGTGAGCACTTACCAGGTGCGGATGTGTTATACTGTTGCTTAGGTTTTTTAAAAGACAATTTAGAATGAAAAAAAAAAAGAATCATCTAACAGTAGCCTGGTCTTCAGTCATTTCTTGTGTGTGTGTGTGATTTAAAACCTTGATAGGTCCCAGAAAAATCTCACTTATCACAGAAAACGTCAAGACTCAAATTATTGTGTGCTGTAAAAATAAGTGAAGAATTTTTCCTATTGAAAAAAAAATTTTGTTTATATTACAGAATCAATAAATTGTTTTCGTAGTGCCTGTATAAAACAGAACCTAGTCTGTGTGCCTTTAATACTGAGTGGACAAAGTGCCCTGCCTGCTGCCGGCTCCCACTCCGGTTGGCCTAACGAACTTGGGGTTCTTCTATTACCCCTACTTTTCCATGGCATGTCCTTTCTGCCATGGCCTCCATCCCCCTTTCTTCCTACTTTTTTTTTTTAAGATTCTACCAGGAACAAGACTGCCCAAATCCCTGCCCTCCATGAACGTACTTCTTGGTGAGAGGAGACATAAATCATTTCAGATAGTGATACAAGCTTGAAAAAATAAAACCAGTCAATACAGAGTGTGGAGGGTGGTACTTTAACAGGGCTGGCCTGACAAGGGGGTCTCTGCTTCTGGGCCATTTGAGCAGAGCCCTGAAGAATGGTGACAAGGAAGAGAAGATTCCAGAGAGAGGGAACTGCAAGGGCAAAGGCCCTGAAGCAGAAAAGAACTTGGTGTCTCAAAGAAGGCCAGCGTGGCTGGGCAGAACAAGCAAGCAGAGTGGCCTTCAGATGAACACAGAACAGGCAGGGCCAGGTCTTGCAGGAATTAGTAGCCCACAGTGAGGAGGTCAGATTTAATTCCAAAGGTGATGGCTTTGGAGCCAAGTTGCTCTGTAGAAGCGCGCTCTGGCAGGGCGGACTTCTCTAAGCCCCACAGTGAGTGGCTCAAGCCCCCGCCGCCAGCGTGTGAGTCTACACAGCCAGTTCTGCCTCTGTGCGGTCATCACCCCTTTACGTGGCTGCTTCCTCCCCAGACCTTGAGCCCAGGCGTACGACCCCGGCCGGGTGACCGCAGCCCGCAGCTCGGCGCCTGGCTCACAGCAGGCGCGAAGCCCGGATTCGCCGAGGGTGACAAGGCGATTGCGCACGGCGGGTTAACGAGAAGTTGGCGCAGAACTTTCTCCCTGGAAGCCGGGCCTCCCACTTGGAGCGGCCACGCGGATTCCGGCCGGAGGAGGCGGGGGCTGGCGCGTGATGCAGGCTGCCGCACGTGGCCCAGGAGTGTGCTTTTTGGGACAGGTGCGGGGGCGCCAAGTTCGCGAAAGTGTAGACAAGGCCCGGCCTCGGCACCCCCTCTCCTGCCTGGGTTTATTCTCGGCTTCGCGGTCCGCCTGGGTGGCCGCTGCAGTTTGTCAAGAAGCGGTGTCTCCCAAGGACGCCTGAACGCCTGCAGGGGACGGGCCGGAGCGCCCCCGCCACGCGTGACGCGTACGGAGCCGCGTGCGCACTGGCCGCCGAGCAGGCTGGAGGAGGGGTCCGCTGGCCTAGCAACTTGGAAGTTTTTCTTTGGACTCTAAGGCTCAACTTGCCCATCTAAGAAATGGGCCTCTGAAATAAACAGATGGGAGAAGCATTGTGCAAACTTGGACTCAAGTTGGGTGTTTAATTCACTTTCCCCACTTCTCTCCTACCTTTGGAAGCCCACGGGGCTGGAGTAGCAGGCTGCCACCCACCACACCCCTCCGTCCAGGTTGCTGAACTCGATTTTGCGTCCCCTGGGGCTGTAAGCGCCGGAAAAGCCCCCGCGGGGTGCGGTCTCTAGACCGGATCACGTGACTCCCGCCTATCGCCCCGCAGCTCGGGGCCGCAAGCAAGTGCGCAGGCGCATTTCTTTATCTTTTTTTTTCCCTCGGCTGGCCCGGGCGCAACGACTGTCAGCTCCTCCCCCTCCTTCCCCGTCTTCATCCTTCCTGACATTCACTCCCTTTCCCCCGCCCATTGGTTACGTCAGGCGGACAGGCCGACGAACCAATCACAGCGCTGTGTCCAGAGGCCCGCACGCGGAACCTGCCGTATCGGGCCAATGGGGGCCCTCGAAGCGGGCGCGCCCCAACCGGGCAGGGTAGCCGGGGCCGAGTGGGCGGTGCTTCCCCAGTCAGCATGTGGGCGGGGGAGGGCGGGGACCAGCAGCCGCAGAGGCGTCGACGGCGGCGGCGGCGGCGACGTTCC